CCCCATTCTCCCGCTTTCCATCACCCGCCCCATTCTCCCGCTTTCCATCACCCCGCCCCATTCTCCCGCTTTCCATCACCCCGCCCATTTTCCCGCTTTCCATCACCCCGCCCCCATTCTCCTTCCATCACCCCGCCCATTCTCCCTCCTTCCATCACCCCGCCCCATTCTCCTTTCCATCACCCCGCCCATTCTTCCGCTTTCCATCACCAGCCCCATTCTCCGCCTTCCATCACCCCGCCCCATTCTCCCGCTTCCATCACCCCGCCCCATTCTCCCGCTTTCCATCACCCGCCCCATTCTCCCGCTTTCCATCACCCCGCCCCATTCTCCCGCTTTCCATCACCCCGCCCCATTCTCCCGCTTCCATCACCCCGACCCATTCTCCCGCTTTCCATCACCCCCCTGCCCCATTCTCCCTCCTTCCATCACCCCGCCCCATTCTCCCTCCTTCCATCACCCCGCCCCATTCTCCCGCTTTCCATCACCCCGCCCCATTCTCCCGCTTCCATCACCCCGCCCCATTCTCCCGCTTTCCATCACGCCCCATTTTCCGCTTTCCATCACCCCGCCCCATTCTCCCACTTTCCATCACCCGCCCCATTCTCCCGCTTTCCATCACCCCGCCCCATTCTCCCGCTTTCCATCACCCCGCCCCATTCTCCCGCTTTCCATCACCCCGCCCCATTCTCCCGCTTTCCATCACCCGCCCCATTCTCCCGCTTTCCATCACCCCGCCCCATTCTCCCTCCTTCCATCACCCCGCCCCATTCTCCCGCTTTCCATCACCCGCCCCATTCTCCCGCTTTCCATCACCCGCCCATTCTCCCGCTTCCATCACCCCGCCCCATTCTCCGTTTTCCATCAAACCGCCCCATTCTCCCGCTTTCCATCACCCCGCCCTTTTCTTCCTCTTCCATCATCCCGCCCCATTCCCCGCTTTCCATCACCCCGCCCCATTCCCCTCTTCCATCACCCCGCCCCATTCTCCCGCTTTCCATCACCCGCCCCATTCTCCCGCTTTCCATCACCACGCCCATTCTCCCGCTTCCATCACCCGCCCCATTCTCCCGCTTTCCATCACCCCGCCCCATTCTCCCGCTTTCCATCACCCTGCCCCATTCTCCCGCTTTCCATCACCCGCCCCATTCTCCCGCTTTCCATCACCCCGCCCCATTCTCCCGCTTTCCATCACCCCGCCACATTTTCCCACTTTCCATCACCCCGCCCCATTCTTTCTCCTCCATCACCCGCCCCATTCTCCCTCCTTCCATCACCCCGCCCCATTCTCCCTCCTTCCATCACCCCGCCCCATTCTCCCGCTTTCCATCAGCCCCGCCCCATTCTCCCGCTTTCCATCACCCCGCCCCTTTCTCCCGCTTTCCATCACCCCGCCCATTCTCCCGCTTTCCATCACCCCGCCCCATTCTCCCGCTTTCCATCACCCCGCCCCATTCTCCCGCTTTCCATCACTCCGCCCATTCTCCCGCTTTCCATCACCCGCCCCATTCTCCCACTTTCCATCACCCGCCCCATTCTCCCTCCTTCCATCACCCCGCCCCATTCTCCCTCCTTCCATCACCCCGCCCCATTCTCCCGCTTTCCATCACCCGCCCCATTCTCCCGCTTTCCATCACCTCGCCCATTCTCCCGCTTTCCATCACCCCGCCCCATTCTCCCGCTTTCCATCACCCCGCCCCATTCTCCCGCTTCCATCACCCTGCCCCATTCTCCCGCTTCCATCACCCGCCCCATTCTCCCGCTTTCCATCACCCCGCCCCATTCTCCCGCTTTCCATCACCCCGCCACATTTTCCCACTTTCCATCACCCGCCCCCATTCTTTCTCCTTTCATCACCCCGCCCCATTCTCCCTCCTTCCATCACCCCGCCCCATTCTCCCTCCTTCCATCACCCCGCCCATTCTTCCGCTTTCCATCACCCCGCCCCATTCTCCCGCTTTCTATCACCCCGCCCCATTCTCCCGCTTTCCATCACCCCGCCCCATTCTCCCGCTTTCCATCACCCCGCCCCATTCTCCCGCTTTCCATCACCCCGCCCCATTCTCCCGCTTTCCATCACTCCGCCCCATTCTCCCGCTTTCCATCACCCCGACCCATTCTCCCACTTTCCATCACCCGCCCCATTCTCCCTCTTTCCATCACCCCGCCTCATTCTCCCTCCTTCCATCACCCCGCCCCATTCTCCCGCTTTCCATCACCCCGCCCCATTCTCCCGCTTTCCATCACTAAGCCCCATTCTCCGCTTTCCATCACCCGCCCCATTTTTCCGCTTTCCATCACCCCGCCCCATTCTCCCACTTTCCATCACCCTGCCCCATTCTCCGCTTTCCATCACCCCGCCCCATTCTCCCGCTTTCCATCACCCAGCCCCATTCTCCCGCTTTCCATCACCCCGCCCCATTCTCCCGCTTTCCATCACCCGCCCCATTCTCCCGCTTTCCATCACCCCGCCCCATTCTCCCTCTTCCATCACCCCGCCCCATTCTCCCGCTTTCCATCACCCGCCCCATTCTCCCTCTTTCCATCACCCCGCCCATTCTCCCTCCTTCCATCACCCCACCCCATTCTCCTGCTTTCCATCACCCGCCCCATTCTCCCGCTTTCCATCACCCCGCCCCATTCTCCCGCTTTCCATCACCCCACCCCATTTTCCCGCTTTCCATCACCCAGCCCCATTCTCCCTCCTTCCATCACCCCGCCCCATTCTCCCTCCTTCCATCACCCCGCCCCATTCTCCCGCTTTCCATCACTAAGCCCCATTCTCCCGCTTTCCATCACCCCGCCCCATTCTCCCGCTTTCCATCAACCGCCCCATTCTCCCTCTTTCCATCACCCCGCCCCATTCTCCCGCTTTCCATCATCCCGCCCCATTCTCCCTCCTTCCATCACCCCGCCCCATTCTCCCGCTTTCCATCACCCCGCCCCATTCTCCCTCCTTCCATCACCCGCCCCATTCTCCCTCCTTCCATCACCCGCCCCATTCTCCCGCTTTCCATCACCCCGCCCCATTCTCCCGCTTTCCATCACCCCACCCCATTCTCCCGCTTTCCATCACCCGCCCCATTCTCCCGCTTTCCATCACCCGCCCCATTCTCTCTCCTTCCATCACCCCGCCCCATTCTCCCCTTCCATCACCCCGCCCCATTCTTCCGCTTTCCATCAGCCCGCCCCATTCTCCCGCTTTCCATCACCCCCCCCCTTTCTCCCGCTTTCCATCACCCCGCCCCATTCTCCCCTTTCCATCACCCCGCCCCATTCTCCCGCTTTCCATCACCCCGCCCCATTCTCCCGCTTCCATCACTCCGCCCCATTCTCCCGCTTTCCATCACCCGCCCCATTCTCCCACTTTCCATCACCCTGCCCCATTCTCCCTCCTTCCATCACCCCGCCCCATTCTCCTCCTTCCATCACCCCGCCCCATTCTCCCGCTTTCCATCACCCCGCCCCATTCTCCCGCTTTCCATCACCCCGCCCCATTCTCCGCTTTCCATCACCCGCCCCATTCTCCGCTTTCCATCACCCCGCCCCATTCTCCCGCTTTCCATCACCCGCCCCAATCTCCCGCTTTCCATCACCCCGCCCCATTCTCCGCTTTCCATCACCCCGCCCCATTCTCCCGCTTCCATCACCCCGCCCCATTCTCCCGCTTTCCATCACCCCGCCCCATTCTCCCGCTTTCCATCACCCCGCCCCATTCTCCCTCCTTCCATCACCCCGCCCCATTCTCCCTCCTTCCATCACCCTGCCCCATTCTCCTGCTTTCCATCACCCCGCCCCATTCTCCCGCTTCCATCACCCCACCCATTCTCCCGCTTTCCATCACCCCGCCCCATTTCCCGCTTTCCATCACCCCGCCCCATTCTCCCTCGCTCCATCACCCCGCCCCATTCTCCCTCCTTCCATCACCCCGCCCCATTCTCCCGCTTTCCATCACCCCGCCCCATTCTCCCGCTTTCCATCACCCCGCCCCATTCTCCCGCTTTCCATCAACCCGCCCCATTCTCCCGCTTTCCATCACCCCGCCCCATTCTCCCGCTTTCCATCACCCGCCCCATTCTCCCTCCTTCCATCACCCGCCCCATTCTCCCGCTTTCCATCACTCCGCCCCATTCTCCCTCCTTCCATCACCCCGCCCCATTCTCCCTCCTTCCATCACCCCGCCCCATTCTCCCGCTTTCCCTCACCCCGCCCCATTCTCCCGCTTCCCATAACCCCACCCCATTCTCCCGCTTTCCATCACCCGCCCCATTCTCCCACTTTCCATCACCCGCCCCCTTCTCTTTCCATCACCCTGCCCCATTCTCCCTCCTTCCATCACCCCGCCCCATTCTCCCGCTTTCATCAGCCCGCCCCATTCTCCCGCTTTCCATCACCCCTCCCCATTCTCCGCTTTCCATCACCCCGCCCCATTCTCCCGCTTTCCATCACCCCGCCCCATTCTCCCGCTTTCCATCACCCCGCCCCATTCTTCCGCTTCCCATCATCCCGCCCCATTCCCCCGCTTTCCATCACCCCTCCCCATTCTCCCTCCTTCCATCACCCCGCCCCATTCTCCTCGCTTTCCATCACCCGCCCCATTTTTCCGCTTTCCATCACCCCGCCCCATTCTCCCGCTTTCCATCACCCGCCCCCATCTCCCGCTTTCCATCACCCCGCCCCATTCTCCCTCCTTCCATCACCCCGCCCCATTCTCCCGCTTTCCATCACCCCGCCCCATTCTCCCGCTTTCCATCACCCCGCCCCATTCTCCCGCTTTCCATCACCCCGCCCCATTCTCCCACTTTCCATCACCCGCCCCATTCTCCCGCTTTCCATCACCTCGCCCATTCTCCCGCTTTCCATCACCCCGCTCCATTCTCCCGCTTTCCATCACCCCGCCCCATTCTCCCGCTTTCCATCACCCCGCCCATTCTCCCGCTTTCCATCACCCCGCTCCATTCTCCCGCTTTCCATCACCCTGCCCCATTCACCGCTTTCCAATGGAGGTGGACGTGGACGTGGAGGTGGACATGGACGTGGACGTGGACGTGGACGTGGACATGGACGTGGACATGGACGTGGACGTTGACGTGGACATGGACGTGGACGTGGACGAAGACGTGGACGTGGACATGGACGTGGACGTGGACGTGGACGTGGACATGGACGTGGACGTGGACGAAGACGTGGACGTGGACATGGAGGTGGACGTGGACGTGGACGTGGACATGGACGTGGACGTGGACGAAGACGTGGACGAAGACGTGGACGTGGACATGGACCTGGACGTGGACGTGGACGTGGACGTGGACGTGGACATGGACGTGGACGTGGACGTGGACGTGGACGTGGACGTGGAAGTGGACGTGGACGAAGACGTGGACGTGGACATGGACGTGGACATGGACGTGGACGTGGACGTGGACATGGACGTGGACGTGGACATGGACGTGGACGTGGATGTGGACGTGGATGTGGACGTGGACGTGGACGTGGACGTGGACGTGGACGTGGACGTGGACGTGGACGTGGACGTGGACATGGACGTGGACGTGGACGTGGACGTGGACATGGACGTGGACGTGGACGTGGACGTGGACATGGACGTGGACGTGGACGTGGACGTGGACGTGGACGTGGACGTGGACGTGGACTTGGACGTGGACGTGGACGTGGACGTGGACGTGGATGTGGACGTGGACGTGGACGTGGACGTGGATGTGGACGTGGACGTAGACGTGGACTTGGACGTGGACGTGGACATGGACGTGGACGTGGAGATGGACGTGGACGTGGAGGTGGACATGGACGTGGACGTGGACGTGGACGTGGACCTGGACGTGGACGTGGACGTGGACATGGACATGGACGTGGACGTGGATGTGGACGTGGACGTGGACATGGACGTGGACGTTGACGTGGACATGGTCTTTGACGTGGACGTGGACGTGGACGTGGACATGGACGTGGACGTGGACGTGGACGTGGACATGGACGTGGACGTGGACGTGGACATGGACGTGGACGTGGACATGGACGTGGACGTGGACGTGCACGTGGACGTGGACGTGGACGTGGACGAGGACGTGGACGTGGACGTGGACGTGGACGTGGACATGGACGTGGACGTGGACGTGGACATGGACGTGGACGTGGACGTGGACGTAGACGTGGACGTGGACGTGGACATGGACATGGACGTGGACATGGACGTGGACGTGGAGGTGGACATGGACGTGGACGTGGACGTGGACATGGACATGAACGTGGACGTGGACGTGGACGTGGACATGGACGTGGACGTGGACGTGGACATGGACATGGACGTGGACGTGGACGTGGACATGGACGTGGACGTGGACGTGGACATGGACGTGGACGTGGACGTTGACGTGGACATGGACTTTGACGTGGACGTGGACGTGGACGTGGACATGGACGTGGACGTGGACGTGGACGTGGACATGGACGTGGACATAGAGGTGGACGTGCACGTGGACGTGGACGTGGACATGGACGTGGACGTGGACGTGGACATGGACGTGGACGTGGACGTGGACGTGGACATGGACGTGGACGTGGACGTGGACGTGGACATGGACGTGGACGTGGACGAAGACGTGGACGTGGACATGGACGTGGACGTGGACGTGGGACGTGGACATGGACGTGGACATGGACGTGGACGTGGACGTGGACATGGACGTGGACGTGGACGTGGACGGGGACATGGACGTGGACATGGACGTGGACGTGGACGTGGACATGGACGTGGACATGGACGTGGACGTGGACGTGGACATGGACGTGGACGTGGACATGGACGTGGACGTGGACGTGGACGTGGACATGGACGTGGACGTGGACGTGGACATGGACGTGGACGTGGACGTGGACGTGGACGTGGACGTGGACATGGACGTGGACGTGGACGTGGACGTGGACATGGACGTGGACGTGGACGAAGACGTGGACGTGGACATGGACGTGGACGTGGATGTGGGACGTGGACATGGACGTGGACATGGACGTGGACGTGGACGTGGACATGGACGTGGACGTGGACGTGGACGTGGACATGGACGTGGACCTGGACGTGGACGTGGACGTGGACATGGACGTGGACATGGACGTGGACGTGGACGTGGACATGGACGTGGACGTGGACGAAGACGTGGACGTGGACATGGACGTGGACGTGGACGTGGACATGGACGTGGACATGGACGTGGACGTGGACGTGGACGTGGACATGGACGTGGACGTGGACGTGGACATGGACGTGGACGTGGACATGGACATGGACGTGGACGTGGACGTGGACGTGGACGTGGACGTGGACGTGGACGTGGACGTGGACATGGACGTGGACGTGGACATGGACGTGGACGTGGACGTGGACATGGACGTGGACGTGGACATGGACGTGGACGTGGACATGGACGTGGACATGGACGTGCACGTGGACGTGGACGTGGACTTGGACGTGGACGTGGACGTGGACGTGGACATGGACGTGGACGTGGACGTGGACGTGGACGTGGACGTGGACGTGGACTTGGACGTGGACATGGACATGGACTTGGACGTGGACATGGACATGGACGTGGACGTGGACGTGGACATGGACGTGGACGTGGAGGTGGACATGGACGTGGACGTGGACATGGACATGAACGTGGACGTGGACATGGACGTGGACGTGGACGTGGACGTGGACATGGACATGGACGTGGACGTGGACGTGGACATGGACGTGGACGTGGACGTGGACATGGACGTGGACGTGGACGTTGACGTGGACATGGACTTTGACGTGGACGTGGACGTGGACGTGGACATGGACGTGGACGTGGACGTGGACGTGGACGTGGACGTGGACGTGGACGTGGACATGGACGTGGACGTGGACGTGGACGTGGACGTGGACATGGACGTGGACGTGGACGTGGACATGGACGTGGACGTGGACGTGGACGTGGACGTGGACATGGACGTGGACGTGGACGTGGACATGGACGTGGACGTGGACGTGGACGTGGACGTGGACATGGACGTGGACGTGGACGTGGACGTGGACATGGACGTGGACATGGACGTGGACATGGACGTGGACATGGACGTGGACGTGGACGTGGACGTGGACATGGACGTGGACATGGACGTGGACGTGGACGTGGACATGGACGTGGACATGGACGTGGACGTGGACGTGGACATGGACGTGGACGTGGACGTGGACATGGACGTGGACGTGGACGTGGACGTGGACGTGGACGTGGACATGGACGTGGACGTGGACATGGACGTGGACGTGGACGTGGACGTGGACATGGACGTGGACGTGGACGGGACGTGGACATGGACGTGGACATGGACGTGGACGTGGACATGGACGTGGACGTGGACGTGGACGTGGACATGGACGTGGACATGGACGTGGACGTGGACGTGGACGTGGACATGGACGTGGACGTGGACATGGACATGGACGTGGACATGGACGTGGACATGGACGTGGACGTGGACGTGGACGTGGACGTGGACGTGGACATGGACGTGGACGTGGACGTGGACATGGACGTGGACATGGACGTGGACATGGACGTGGACGTGGACATGGACGTGGACGTGGACATGGACATGGACGTGGACGTGGACATGGACATGGACGTGGACGTGGACGTGGACGTGGAGGTGGACGTGGACGTGGACGTGGACGTGGACGTGGACGTGGACGTGGACGTGGACATGGACGTGGACGTGGACGTGGACGTGGACATGGACATGGACGTGGACGTGGACGTGGACGTGGACATGGACGTGGACGTGGACGTGGACGTGGACATGGACGTGGACATGGACGTGGACATGGACGTGGACATGGACGTGGACATGGACGTGGACGTGGACATGGACGTGGACATGGACGTGGACGTGACGTGGACGTGGACATGGACGTGGACGTGGACGTGGATGTGGACATGGACGTGGACATGGACGTGGACGTGGACGTGGACGTGGACGTGGACGTGGACGTGGACGTGGACATGGACGTGGACGTGGACGTGGACATGGACGTGGACGTGGACATGGACGTGGACGTGGACGTGGACGTGGACATGGACGTGGACGTGGACGTGGACGTGGACTTGGACGTGGACGTGGACGTGGACATGGACGTGGACGTGGACGTGGACATGGACGTGGACGTGGACGTGGACGTGGACGTGGACGTGGACTTGGACGTGGACATGGACATGGACGTGGACGTGGACGTGGACATGGACGTGGACGTGGACGTGGACATGGACGTGGACGTGGACGTGGACATGGACATGGACGTGGACGTGGACGTGGACGTGGACGTGGACATGGACATGGACGTGGACGTGGACGTGGACGTGGACATGAACGTGGACGTGGACGAGGACATGGACGTGGACGTGGACGTGACATGGACGTGGACGTGGACGTGGACGTGGACGTGGACCTGGACGTGGACGTGGACATGGACGTGGACATGGACGTGGACGTGGACGTGGACGTGGACATGGACGTGGACCTGGACGTGGACGTGGACATGGACGTGGACGTGGACGTGGACGTGGACGTGGACGTGGACGTGGACGTGGACGTGGACGTGGACGTGGACGTGGACGTGGACGTGGACGTGGACGTGGACGTGGACGTGGACGTGGACGTGGACGTGGACATGGACGTGGACGTGGACGTGGACGTGGACGTGGACGTGGACGTGGACATGGACGTGGACGTGGACGTGGACGTGGACGTGGACGTGGACATGGACGTGGACGTGGACGTGGACGTGGACGTGGACATGGACGTGGACGTGGACGTGGACATTACGTGGACGTGGACGTGGACGTGGACGTGGACGTGGACGTGGACTTTGACGTGGACGTGGACGTGGACGTGGACATGGACGTGGACGTGGACGTGGACGTGGACATGGACGTGGACGTGGACGTGGACGTGGACGTGGACGTGGACATGGACGTGGACGTGGACGTGGACATGGACGTGGACGTGGACGTGGACGTGGACATGGACGTGGACGTGGACGAAGACGTGGACGTGGACATGGACGTGGACGTGGACCTGGACGTGGACGTGGACGTGGACGTGGACGTGGACGTGGACATGGACGTGGACGTGGACGTGGACATGGACGTGGACGTGGACGTGGACGTGGACGTGGACGTGGACGTGGACGTGGACGTGGACATGGACGTGGACGTGGACGTGGACGTGGACCTGGACGTGGACGTGGACGTGGACATGGTCGTGGACGTGGACGTGGACGTGGACATGGACGTGGACGTGGACGTGGACATGGACGTGGAGGTGGACGTGGACATGGACGTGGACGTGGACGTGGACGTGGACATGGACGTGGACGTGGAGGTGGACATGGACGTGGACGTGGACGTGGACATGGACGTGGACGTGGACGTGGACGTGGACATGGACGTGGACGTGGACGTGGACATGGACGTGGACGTGGACGTGGACATGGACGTGGACGTGGACGTGGACGTGGACATGGACGTGGAGGTGGACGTGGACATGGACGTGGACGTGGACGTGGACGTGGACGTGGACATGGACGTGGACGTGGACGTGGACGTGGACCTGGACGTGGACGTGGACGTGGATGTGGACGTGGACATGGACGTGGACGTGGACGTGGACATGGACATGGTCGTGGACGTGGACGTGGACATGGACATGGACGTGGACGTGGACGTGGACGTGGACGTGGACATGGACGTGGACGTGGACGTGGACGTTGACTGGACGTGGACGTGGACATGGACGTGGACGTGGACGTGGACGTGGACGTGGACGTGGACGTGGACGTGGACCTGGACGTGGACGTGGACGTGGACGTGGACATGGACGTGGACGTGGACGTGGACATGGACGTGGACGTGGACGTGGACATGGACGTGGACGTGGACGTGGACAAAGACGTGGACGTGGACATGGACGTGGACGTGGACGTGGACGTGACGTGGACGTGGACGTGGACGTGGACATGGACGTGGACGTGGACGTGGACATGGTCGTGGACGTGGACGTGGACGTGGACATGGACGTGGACGTGGACGTGGACATGGACGTGGACATGGACATGGACGTGGACATGGACGTGGACGTGGACGTGGACATGGACGTGGACGTGGACATGGACGTGGACGTGGACGTGGACATGGACATGGAGGTGGACGTGGACGTGGACGTGGACATGGACGTGGACATGGACAAGGACGTGGACGTGGACGTGGACATGGACAAGGACGTGGACATGGACGTGGACATGGACGTGGACGTGGACGTGGACATGGACGTGGACGTGGACGTGGACGTGGACATGGACGTGGACCTGGACGTGGACGTGGACGTGGACGTGGACGTGGACATGGACGTGGACATGGACGTGGACGTGGACGTGGACGTGGACGTGGACGTGGACGTGGACGTGGACGTGGACGTGGACGTGGACGTGGACGTGGACGTGGACGTGGACGTGGACGTGGACGTGGACGTGGACGTGGACGTGGACGTGGACGTGGACGTGGACGTGGACGTGGACTTGGACGTGGACGTGGACATGGACGTGGACGTGGACGTGGACTTGGACGTGGACGTGGACGTGGACGTGGACGTGGACGTGGACGTAGACGTGGACTTGGACGTGGACGTGGACATGGACGTGGACGTGGACGTGGACATGGACGTGGACGTGGACGTGGACGTGGACGTGGACATGGACGTGGACGTGGACGTGGACATGGACATGGACGTGGACGTTGACGTGGACATGGACGTTGACGTGGACGTGGACGTGGACGTGGACATGGACGTGGACGTGGACGTGGACATGGACGTGGACGTGGACGTGGACGTGGACCTGGACGTGGACGTGGACGTGGACATGGACATGGACGTGGACGTGGACGTGGACGTGGACGTGGACCTGGACGTGGACGTGGACGTGGACCTGGACGTGGACATGGACGTGGACGTGGACGTGAACGTGGACATGGACGTGGACGTGGACATGGACGTGGACGTGGACATGGACGTGGACGTGGACGTGGACGTGGACCTGGACGTGGACGTGGACATGGACGTGGACGTGGACGTGGACGTGGACATGGACATGGACGTGGACGTGGACGTGGACGTGGACATGGACGTGGACGTGGACGTGGACATGGACGTGGACGTGGACGTGGACGTGGACGTGGACATGGACGTGGACGTGGACGTGGACGTGGACGTGGACATGGACGTGGACGTGGACGTGGACGTGGACATGAACGTGGACGTGGACGTGGACGTGGACGTGGATATGGACGTGGACATGGACGTGGACGTGGACGTGGACGTGGACATGGACGTGGACGTGGACGTGGACATGGACATGGACGTGGACGTGGACGTGGACATGGACGTGGACGTGGACGTGGACATGGACGTGGACGGGACGTGGACGTGGACATGGACGTGGACGTGGACGTGGACGTGGACGTGGACATGGACGTGGACGTGGACGTGGACGTGGACATGGACATGGACGTGGACGTGGACGTGGACGTGGACATGGACGTGGACATGGACGTGGACATGGACGTGGACGTGGACGTGGACGTGGACATGGACGTGGACGTGGACGTGGACATGGACGTGGACGTGGACGTGGACGTGGACATGGACGTGGACGTGGACGTGGACCTGGATGTGGACGTGGACGTGGACATGGACGTGGACGTGAACGTGGACATGGACGTGGACGTGGACGTGGACATGGTCGTGGACGTGGACGTGGACGTGGACATGGACGTGGACATGGACGTGGACATGGACGTGGACGTGGACGTGGACCTGGACGTGGACCTGGACGTGGACGTGGACGTGGACGTGGACGTGGACGTGGACGTGGACGTGGACGTGGACGTGGACGTGGACATGGACGTGGACATGGACGTGGACGTGGACGTGGACGTGGACGTGGACATGGACATGGACGTGGACGTGGACGTGGACATGGACATGGACGTGGACGTGGACGTGGACGTGGACGTGGACATGGACGTGGACGTGGACGTGGACGTGGACCTGGACGTGGACGTGGACATGGACGTGGACGTGGACGTGGACGTGGACGTGGACGTGGACCTGGACGTGGACCTGGACGTGGACGTGGACGTGGACGTGGACATGGACGTGGACGTGGACGTGGACATGGACGTGGACGTGGACGTGGACATGGACGTGGACGTGGACATGGACGTGGACGTGGACATGGACGTGGACGTGGACATGGACGTGGACGTGGACGTGGACGTGACGTAGACGTGGACGTGGACGTGGACATGGATGTGGACGTGGACGTGGACATGGACGTGGACGTGGACGTGGACGTGGACATGGACGTGGACGTGGACGTGGACGTGGACATGGACGTGGACGTGGACATGGACGTGGACATGGACGTGGACGTGGACGTGGACGTGGACGTGGACGTGGACATGGACGTGGACGTGGACGTGGACGTGGACATGGACATGGAGGTGGACGTGGACGTGGACGTGGAAATGGACGTGGACGTGGACGTGGCAGGGACGTGGACGTGGACGTGGACGTGGACGTGGACATGGACGTGGACGTGGACGTGGACGTGGACGTGGACATGGACGTGGACGTGGACATGGACGTGGACATGGACGTGGACATGGACGTGGACGTGGACGTGGACGTGGACATGGACATGGACGTGGACGTGGACGTGGACATGGACGTGGACGTGGACGTGGACATGGACGTGGACGTGGACGTGGACGTGGACGTGGACATGGACGTGGACGTGGACGTGGACGTGGACATGGACGTGGACGTGGACGTGGACGTGAACATGGACGTGGACGTGGACGTGGACCTGGACGTGGACGTGGACGTGGACGTGGACATGGACGTGGACATGGACGTGGAGGACGTGGACGTGGACAAGGACTTGGACGTGGACGTGGACGTGGACGTGGACATGGACGTGGACGTGGACATGGACGTGGACGTGGACGTGGACGTGGACGTGGACGTGGACATGGACGTGGACGTGGACATGGACGTGGACGTGGACGTGGACGTGGACGTGGACGTGGACGTGGACGTGGACGTGAACGTGGACGTGGACATGGACGTGGACGTGGACGTGGACGTGGACATGGACGTAGACGTGGACGTGGACATGGACGTGGACATGGACGTGGACGTGGACATGGACGTGGACATGGACGTGGACGTGGACGTGGACGTGGACATGGACGTGGACGTGGACGTGGACGTGGACATGGACGTGGACGTGGACGTGGACGTGGACGTGGACGTGGACGTGGACGTGGACGTGGACATGGACGTGGACGTGGACGTGGACATGGACGTGGACGTGGACGTGGACGTGGACGTGGATGTGGACGTGGACGTGGACTGGACGTGGACGTGGACCTGGACGTGGACGTGGACGTGGACATGGACGTGGACATGGACGTGGACGTGGACGTGGACGTGGACGTGGACGTGGACGTGGAGATGGACGTGGACATGGACGTGGACGTGGACGTGGACATGGACGTGGACGTGGACGTGGACATGGACGTGGACGTGGACGTGGACGTGGAGATGGTCGTGGACGTGGACGTGGACGTGGACGTGGACGTGGACGTGGACGTGGACGTGGACATGGACGTGGACGTGGACGAGGACGTGGACTTGGACGTGGACGTGGACGTGGACGTGGACGTGGACGTGGACGTGGACGTGGACGTGGACGTGGACGTGGACGTGGACGTGGACGTGGACGTGGACGTGGACGTGGACGTGGACATGGACGTGGACGTGGACGTGGACATGGACGTGGACGTGGACGTGGACGTGGACGTGGACATGGACGTGGACGTGGACGTGGACGTGGACGTGGACATGGACGTGGACGTGGACGTGGACGTGGACATGAACGTGGACGTGGACGTGGACGTGGACGTGGATATGGACGTGGACATGGTCGTGGACGTGGACGTGGACGTGGACATGGACGTGGACGTGGACGTGGACATGGACATGGACGTGGACGTGGACGTGGACATGGACGTGGATGTGGACGTGGACATGGACGTGGACGTGGACGTGGACGTGGACATGGACGTGGACGTGGACGTGGACGTGGACGTGGACATGGACGTGGACGTGGACGTGGACGTGGACATGGACATGGACGTGGACGTGGACGTGGACGTGAACATGGACGTGGACATGGACGTGGACATGGACGTGGACGTGGACGTGGACGTGGACATGGACGTGGACGTGGACGTGGACATGGACGTGGACGTGGACGTGGACGTGGACATGACGTGGACGTGGACGTGGACCTGGACGTGGACGTGGACGTGGACATGGACGTGGACGTGGACGTGGACATGGACGTGGACGTGGACGTGGACATGGACGTGGACGTGGACGTGGACGTGGACATGGACGTGGACATGGACGTGGACATGGACGTGGACGTGGACGTGGACCTGGACGTGGACCTGGACGTGGACGTGGACGTGGACGTGGACGTGGACGTGGACGTGGACGTGGACGTGGACGTGGACGTGGACATGGACGTGGACATGGACGTGGACGTGGACGTGGACGTGGACGTGGACATGGACATGGACGTGGACGTGGACGTGGACATGGACATGGACGTGGACGTGGACGTGGACGTGGACGTGGACATGGACGTGGACGTGGACGTGGACGACCTGGACGTGGACGTGGATGTGGACATGGACGTGGACGTGGACGTGGACGTGGACGTGGACGTGGACCTGGACGTGGACCTGGACGTGGACGTGGACGTGGACGTGGACATGGACGTGGACGTGGACGTGGACATGGACGTGGACGTGGACGTGGACATGGACGTGGACGTGGACATGGACGTGGACGTGGACATGGACGTGGACGTGGACATGGACGTGGACGTGGACGTGGACGTGACGTAGACGTGGACGTGGACGTGGACATGGACGTGGACGTGGACGTGGACATGGACGTGGACGTGGACGTGGACGTGGACATGGACGTGGACGTGGACGTGGACGTGGACATGGACGTGGACGTGGACATGGACGTGGACATGGACGTGGACGTGGACGTGGACGTGGACGTGGACGTGGACATGGACGTGGACGTGGACGTGGACGTGGACATGGACATGGAGGTAGACGTGGACGTGGACGTGGAAATGGACGTGGACGTGGACGTGGCAGGGACGTGGACGTGGACGTGGACGTGGACGTGGACATGGACGTGGACGTGGACGTGGACGTGGACGTGGACATGGACGTGGACGTGGACATGGACGTGGACATGGACGTGGACATGGACGTGGACGTGGACGTGGACGTGGACATGGACATGGACGTAGACGTGGACGTGGACATGGACGTGGACGTGGACGTGGACATGGTCGTGGACGTGGACGTGGACGTGGACGTGGACATGGACGTGGACGTGGACGTGGACGTGGACATGGACGTGGACGTGGACGTGGACGTGGACATGGACGTGGACGTGGACGTGGACCTGGACGTGGACGTCGACGTGGACGTGGACATGGACGTGGACATGGACGTGGAGGACTTGGACGTGGACAAGGACTTGGACGTGGACCTGGACGTGGACGTGGACATGGGCGTGGACGTGGACATGGACGTGGACGTGGACGTGGACGTGGACGTGGACGTGGACATGGACGTGGACGTGGACATGGACGTGGACGTGGACGTGGACGTGGACGTGGACGTAGACGTGGACGTGGACGTGAACGTGGACGTGGACATGGACGTGGACGTGGACGTGGACGTTGACATGGACGTGGACGTGGACGTGGACATGGACGTGGACATGGACGTGGACGTGGACATGGACGTGGACATGGACGTGGACGTGGACGTGGACGTCGACATGGACGTGGACGTGGACGTGGACGTGGACATGGACGTGGACGTGGACGTGGACGTGGACGTGGACGTGGACGTGGACGTGGACGTGGACATGGACGTGGACGTGGACGTGGACATGGACGTGGACGTGGACGTGTACGTGGACGTGGACGTGGACGTGGACGTGGACCTGGACGTGGACGTGGACGTGGATGTGGACGTGGACGTGGACATGGACGTGGACATGGACGTGGACGTGGACGCGGACGTGGACGTGGACGTGGACGTGGAGATGGACGTGGACATGGACGTGGACGTGGACGTGGACATGGACGTGGACGTGGACGTGGACATGGACGTGGACGTGGACGTGGACGTGGAGATGGACGTGGACGTGGACGTGGACGTGGACGTGGACGTGGACGTGGACGTGGACGTGGACATGGACGAGGACGTGGACGTGGACGTGGACTTGGACGTGGACGTGGACGTGGACGTGGACGTGGACGTGGACGTGGACGTGGACGTGGACGTGGACGTGGACGTGGACGTGGACGTGGACGTGGACGTGGACGTGGACGTGGACGTGGACGTGGACGTGGACGTGGACGTGGACGTGGACGTGGACATGGACGTGGACGTGGACGTGGACGTGGACATGGACGTGGACGTGGACGTGGACGTGGACATGGACGTGGACGTGGTCGTGGACGTGGACGTGGACGTGGACGTGGACGTAGACGTGGACGTGGACGTGGTCATGGACGTGGACGTGGACGTGGACGTGGACGTGGACGTGGTCGTGGACGTGGACGTGGACGTGGACGTGGACCTGGACGTGGACGTGGACGTGGACGTGGACGTGGACGTGGATGTGGACGTGGACGTGGACGTGGACGTGGACGTGGACGTGGACGTGGACGTGGACGTGGACCTGGACGTGGACGTGGACGTGGACGTGGACCTGGACGTGGACATGGACGTGGACGTGGACGTGGACGTGGACCTGGACGTGGACATGGATATGGACGTGGACGTGGACGTGGACGTCGACGTGGATGTGGACGTGGACGTGGACATGGACATGGACGTGGACATGGACGTGGACATGGATAGGGACGTGGACGTGGACGTGGACATGGACGTGGACGTGGACGTGGACGTGGACATGTGGCGTGGACATGGACGTGGACGTGGACATGGACGTGGACGTGGACGTGGATGTGGACGTGGACATGGACGTGGACGTGGACGTGGACGTGGACATGGTTGTGGACGTGGACGTGGACGTGGACATGGACGTGGACGTGGACGTGGACATGGACGTGGACATGGACGTGGACGTGGACGTGGACGTGGACCTGGACGTGGACATGGACATGGACGTGGACGTGGACGTGGACGTGGACGTGGATGTGGACGTGGACGTGGACGTGGACATGGACATGGACGTGGACGTGGACGTGGACATGGATAGGGACGTGGACGTGGACGTGGACATGGACGTAGACGTGGACGTGGGACATGGACATGGACGTGGACGTGGACGTGGACGTGGACGTGGACATGGACGTGGACGTGGACATGGACGTGGACGTGGACGTGGACGTGGACATGGACGTGGACGTGGACATGGACGTGGACGTGGACGTGGACATGGACGTGGACGTGGACGTGGACATGGACGTGGACGTGGACGTGGACGTGGACCTGGACGTGGACGTGGACGTGGACGTGGACGTGGACGTGGACGTGGATATGGACGTGGACGTGGACGTGGACGTGGACGTGGACGTGGACGTGGACGTGGACGTGGACGTGGACGTGGACGTGGACGTGGACATGGACGTGGACATGGACGTGGAGGACTTGGACGTGGACGTGGACTGGACGTGGACGTGGACGTGGACATGGACGTGGACATGGACGTGGACGTGGACATGGACGTGGACAAGGACTTGGACGTGGACGTGGACGTGGACATGGACGTGGACGTGGACGTGGACGTGGACGTGGACGTGGACGTGGACGTGGACGTAGACGTGGACGTGGACGTGGACGTGGACGTGGACGTGGACGTGGACGTGGACGTGGACGTGGACGTGGACGTGGACGTGGACGTGGACGTGGACGTGGACGTGGACGTGGACGTGGACGTGGACGTGGACGTGGACGTGGACGTGGACGTGGACGTGGACGTGGACGTGGACGTGGACGTGGACGTGGACGTGGACGTGGACGTGGACGTGGACGTGGACGTGGACGTGGACATGGACGTGGACGTGGACGTGGACGTGGGCGTGGACGTGGACGTGGACGTGGACGTGGACATGGACGTGGACATGGACGTGGACGTGGACGTGGACATGGACGTGGACGTGGACATGGACGTGGACGTGGACGTGGACGTGGACATGGACGTGGACATGGACGTGGACGTGGACATGGACGTGGACGTGGACGTGGACGTGGACGTGGACGTGGACGTGGACGTGGACGTGGACGTGGACGTGGACGTGGACGTGGACGTGGACGTGGACGTGGACGTGGACGTGGACATGGACATGGACGTGGACGTGGACGTGGACATGGATAGGGACGTGGACGTGGACATGGACATGGACGTGGACGTGGACGTGGACGTCGACGTGGATGTGGACGTGGACGTGGACATGGACATGGACGTGGACGTGGACGTGGACATGGATAGGGACGTGGACGTGGACGTGGACATGGACGTAGACGTGGACGTGGGCATGGACATGGACGTGGACGTGGACGTGGACGTGGACGTGGACATGGACGTGGACGTGGACATGGACGTGGACGTGGACGTGGACGTGGACATGGACGTGGACGTGGACATAGACGTGGATGTGGACGTGGACATGGACGTGGACGTGGACGTGGACGTGGACATGGACGTGGACGTGGACGTGGACGTGGACGTGGACGTGGACGTGGACGTGGACGTGGACGTGGACATGGACGTGGATATGGACGTTGACGTGGACGTGGACGTGGACATGGACGTGGAGGTGGACGTGGACGTGGACGTGGACGTGGACATGGACGTGGACATGGACGTGGAGGACGTGGACGTGGACAGGACTTGGACGTGGACGTGGACGTGGACATGGACGTGGACATGGACGTGGACGTGGACATGGACATGGACGTGGACTTGGACGTGGACGTGGACGTGGACGTGGACGTGGACATGGACGTGGACGTGGATGTGGACGTAGACGTGGACGTGGACGTGGACGTGGACGTGGACGTGGACGTGGACGTGGACGTGGACGTGGACGTGGACGTGGACGTGGACGTGGACGTGGACGTGGACGTGGACGTGGACGTGGGCGTGGACGTGGACGTGGACGTGGACGTGGACGTGGACGTGGACGTGGACATGGACGTGGACGTGGACGTGGACGTGGGCGTGGACGTGGACGTGGACGTGGACGTGGACATGGACGTGGACATGGACGTGGACGTGGACGTGGACATGGACGTGGACGTGGACATGGACGTGGACGTGGAGGTGGACGTGGACATGGACGTGGACATGGACGTGGACGTGGAAATGGACGTGGACGTGGACGTGGACGTGGACGTGGACGTGGACGTGGACGTGGACGTGGACGTGGGCGTGGACGTGGACGTGGACATGGACGTGGACGTGGACATGGACGTGGACGTGGACGTGGACGTGGACATGGACGTGGACATGGACGTGGACGTGGACGTGGACGTGGACGTGGACGTGGACGTGGACGTGGACGTGGACGTGGACGTGGACATGGACGTGGTGGACATGGTGGACGTGGACGTGGACGTGGACGTGGACGTGGACATGGGACGTGGACGTGGACGTGGACGTGGACGTGGACATGGACGTGGACATGGACGTGGACATGGACGTGGACATGGGCGTGGACGTGGACATGGACGTGGACGTGGACATGGACGTGGACATGGACGTGGACATGGACGTGGACGTGGACATGGACGTGGACATGGACGTGGACGTGGACATGGACGTGGACGTGGACATGGACGTGGACGTGGACGTGGACGTAGACGTGGACATGGACGTGGACGTGGACGTGGACGTGGACGTGGACGTGGACGTGGGCGTGGACGTGGACGTGGACGTGGACGTGGACGTGGACGTGGACGTGGACGTGGACATGGACGTGGACGTGGACGTGGACGTGGACATGGGACGTGGACGTGGACGTGGACGTGGACATGGACGTGGACGTGGACGTGGACGTGGACATGGACGTGGACGTGGACGTGGACGTGGTGGACGTGGACGTGGACGTGGACGTGGACGTGGACGTGGACATGGACCTGGACGTGGACGTGGACATGGACGTGGACGTGGACGTGGACGTGGACATGGACGGACGTGGACATGGACATGGACGTGGACGTGGACGTGGACGTGGACATGGACGTGGACGTGGACGTGGACATGGACGTGGACGTGGACGTGGACGTGGACGTGGACGTGGACTGGACGTGGACGTGGACGTGGACGTGGACATGGACGTGGACGTGGACGTGGACGTGGACGTAGACGTGGACGTGGACATGGACGTGGATGTGGACGTGGAGATGGACGCGACGTGGACGTGGACATGGACGTGGACGTGGGCGTGGACGTGGACATGGACATGGACGTGGACGTGGACATGGACGTGGACGTAGACGTGGATGTCGACGTGGACATGGACGTGGACGTGGACGTGGACGTGGACATGGTTGTGGACGTGGACGTGGACGTGGACGTGGACGTGGACCTGGACCTGGACGTGGACATGGACATGGACGTGGACGTGGACGTGGACGTGGACATGGACGTGGACGTGGACATGGACGTGGACGTGGACATGGACGTGGACGTGGACATGGACAGGGACGTGGATGTGGACGTGGACATGGACGTGGACGTGGACGTGGACGTGGACATGGACATGGACGTGGACGTGGACGTGGACAGGACGTGGACGTGGACGTGGACGTGGACGTGGACATGGACGTGGACGTGGACGTGGATCTGGTCGTAGACGTGGAGGTGGACGTGGCATAGATATGGACGTGGACGTGGACGTGGACGTGGACGTGGACCTGGACCTGGACGTGGACGTGGACATGGACGTGGACGTGGACGTGGACATGGACGTGGACGTGGACGTTGAGGTGGACGTGGACGTGGACATGGACGTGGACATGGAGGTGGAGGACTTGGATGTGGACAAGGACTTGGACGTGGACGTTGACGTGGACATGGACGTGGACGTGGACATGGACGTGGACATGGACCTGGACGTGGACTTGGACGTGGACGTGGACATGGAAGTGGACGTGGACGTGGACATGGACGTGGACGTGGACGTGGACGTGGACGTGGACGTGGACGTGGACGTGGACGTGGACGTGGACGTGGACGTGGACGTGGACGTGGACGTGGTCGTGGACGTGGACATGGACGTGGAAGTGGACGTGGACGTGGACGTGGACGTGGACGTGGACGTGGACGTGGACGTGGACGTGGACGTGGACGTGGACGTGAACGTGGACATGGACGTGGACATGGACGTGGACGTGGACGTGTGGACGTGGACGTAGACGTGGACATGGACGTGGACGTGGACGTGGACGTGGACGTGGACGTGGACATGGACGTGGACATGGACGTGGACATGGACGTGGACGTGGACATGGACGTGGACATGGACGTGGACGTGGACATGGACGTGGACATGGACGTGGACGTGGGCGTGGACGTGGACATGGACGTGGACGTGGACGTGGACATGGACGTGGACGTGGACGTGGACGTGGACTGGACGTGGACGTGGACGTGGACGTGGACGTGGACGTGGACATGGACGTGGACGTGGACGTGGACGTGGACATGGACGTGGACGTGGACGTGGACGTGGACATGGACGTGGACGTGGACGTGGAGATGGACGTGACGTGGACGTGGACATGGACGTGGACGTGGGCGTGGACGTGGACATGGACATGGACGTGGACATGGACGTGGACGTGGACGTGGACATGGACGTGGACGTGGACTGGACGTGGACGTGGACATGGACATGGACGTGGACGTGGACGTGGACGTGGACGTGGACATGGTCGTGGACGTGGACGTGGACGTGGACGTGGACGTGGACGTGGGCGTGGACGTGGACGTGGACGTGGGACGTGGACGTAGACGTGGACGTGGACATGGACGTGGACGTGGACGTGGACGTGGACGTAGACATGGACGTGGACATGGACGTGGACATGGACGTGGACGTGGACATGGACGTGGACGTGGACGTGGACGTGGACGTGGACGTGGACATGGACGTGGACGTGGACGTGGACATGGACGTGGACGTGGACATGGACGTGGACATGGACGTGGACGTGGACGTGGACATGGACGTGGACGTGGACATGGACATGGACGTGGACGTGGGCGTGGACGTGGACATGGACGTGGACGTGGACGTGGACATGGACGTGGACGTGGACGTGGACGTGGACTGGACGTGGACGTGGACGTGGACGTGGACGTGGACGTGGACGTGGACGTGGACGTGGACGTGGACGTGGACGTGGACGTGGACGTGGACGTGGACGTGGACATGGACGTGGATGTGGACGTGGAGATGGACGTGACGTGGACGTGGACATGGACGTGGACGTGGACGTGGACGTGGACATGGACATGGACGTGGACATGGACGTGGACGTGGACGTGGACGTGGACGTGGACTGGACGTGGACGTGGACCTGGACATGGAAGTGGACGTGGACGTGGACGTGGACATGGACGTGGACACGGACGTGGACGTGGACGTGGTCGTGGACGTGGACGTGACATGGACGTGGACGTGGACGTGGACGTGGACGTGGACGTGGACATGGACGTGGACGTGGACGTGGACGTGGACATGGACGTGGACGTGGACGTGGACGTGGACGTGGACGTGGACATGGACGTGGACATGGATATGGACGTGGACGTGGACGTGGACATGGACGTGGACGTGGACGTGAACGTGGACGTGGACATGGACGTGGACGTGGACGTGGACGTGGACGTGGACATGGACGTGGACGTGGACGTGGACGTGGACATGGTCGTGGACGTGGACGTGGACGTGGACGTGGACATGGACGTGGACGTGGACGTGGACGTGGACGTGGACGTGGACATGGACCTGGACGTGGACGTGGACATGGACGTGGACGTGGACGTGAACGTGGACATGGACGCGACGTGGACGTGGACATGGACGTGGACGTGGCGTGGACGTGGACATGGACGTGGACGTGGACGTGGACATGGACGTGGACGTGGACGTGGACGTGGACGTGGACTGGACGTGGACGTGGACGTGGACGTGGACGTGGACATGGACGTGGACGTGGACGTGGACGTGGACGTGGACGTGGACGTGGACATGGACGTGGACGTGGACGTGGAGATGGACGTGGACGTGGACGTGGACATGGACGTGGACGTGGACGTGGACGTGGACATGGACATGGACGTGGACGTGGACATGGACGTGGACGTGGACGTGGATGTGGACGTGGACATGGACGTGGACGTGGACGTGGACGTGGACATGGTTGTGGACGTGGACGTTGACGTG